GGAGAGAGAGATAGAGAGATAGATAGATAGATAGATAGAGAGAGAGAGAGAGAGAGAGAGAGTGTCTGTGGGCAGGGGGCATACTTGGTGTAATTAAAGGTATGTGACTCATTGTCAAAGCTTCACACCGCTCTTGTGGATTAGGGCAAATCAAGTGAAGGGACAACTGTTGGTGTGAACTGCAGTGAGGTCTGAACCTGGTGTGTGAGAAAAGACCGTCAGTAGAACACTGTAACACAGTAACGGAACTGGAAGGTTTTAGACCAAGTATGTCCAGTCCCGCTCTGGGGAACCAAACTGCTACAGAACACCGTCTCCGCAGTTACACTACTATACTGTGGTTTACTACACTATAGAATGTTTTTGGGTTATCAAGAACCTTGGAAGGTGGGAGGTTTGGAACTTTGGAGGAAAAAGAGGACAGGATCCTCACTTTTTTCCTTCACGTTTTGTGAAGACTAAGCTTTGAGTTAGCATGTTTAGGATCAACCTTATCTGATATGTAAAAGAGAAAAGATTTTTGTATTTAACACGAAGATAAGGCACAGGCAGAACAATGAGTACAAGAGTCAGTAAATGTAACATCGTTACATTAGAGTTGAAACTTTTCCCCTCTTTCATCCTGTCATGTCTCATCCAGTCTCATTGATTTTAAAATCTGTTTCTATTGGTTTATGTCATGTATTTCTAACTGGTCTCAACTTCTTGCAAACCCATCCTGACTAAGAAAATTGTATCTAATCTTTCTGATTATCATTATGTTATCTGAACTGTTTTCATCTCGGCGTATGGAATTTTATAGAATGTAATCTTTCTGTTATCTTTTTAGACCTTACATATCTGTTTTTTAAAGGTTAGGGTTAGAGTTTTTTTTCATGTCATCCAGGGGTTCCCAACTCCCGGTAAGGGACTGGTACTGGTACGTACGTCATTTGCAGTACGACACAGTCTAAACGATGGTTTATTTAGAAAATTGAATGATCCTTCAAAGATGGCACGGTATTACCGGTCCGGATTAACAGCTGATACCGGATCTTGGTACAAAAAGGGTTGGGGACCACTGGTCTAATCTCATTGAGCGAAAACATTTCTACCATCTGATCATAACTTTTCTTATGTAAACCTCATCTTACTTGACCTCATCTTCAGAGAATTAGGAAATATAGAAAACAAGTTCAAAACTATGACATAACCCAGAATTATTCTTTTGTCCGGAGAGGGTGGGAAGGCGAGGGGGGGGGGGTTCATAGACAGATAGATGGATGTGATGTCCATAAATGGTTGCAAAGTTCCTGTCAGTAGCTGAAGTCAAGGCTTGGTTTCCAGAGATCAACAGAAGATGAAGAGGAACAGATGTGGGCTGATCTGTTTCATCCTTACCACCCCAGACCTTTTAAGACCGTCCTGTCAGACCTTGCGCACCAATCAGCTGGACCACCCCATGTCACATGACCCGGTGAACTTATAAAGAGGTTATAAAGTGAAGTGATGCTGAGATGTATCACTCAGATTCTGTTTTTTTTTTTAACACGAACGTCCTCACATCACCGCTGCGGCCGACAAGAGACGACAAGTCCACAGTAACCTTCAGACCTGAACTGACCGGCCCTGACCCGACAGAGTAAGTAAAGAGCACTGTTTACTCGATGCTAGGAATGTAGGAATCTATTTCTCTACAGGTTTTTGTATCGAAACGCTTTGATAATGAATATTGCCGCGTCATTAATCTTAAACAATAACCTTTTTAAATTAGGTGTAAAATGACGGAAATAGAGTATTACATAATATTTCATCCATCATTATTACTAGTTTTTTTTTCTATTTCTAGACAAATTTTAAACGTAGTGTAAACATGAAGAATCATCACATTTAATGTCACTCTAAATTTTTCTATATTTCCTTTGAAAATGACGTGAATGTATATAAAAACATATGAGTCGTGGTCAACAATGAAAATATATAAAATCTCAGTTTTACACAAGAAAAAAAAAAAGTTATTTTATTACTAAAAAAGAATCAATTATTTGGCATTTTTTGGAACAACTTTCTCCCATTGTTCTTTCTG